TGAATCAGCTTAAAGTCTATGGAGATTATCAGTCATCCAGCTAATGATTATCCGAACGGTGCTTTTTCAAAAGGCAACTGGACTTTCTTTGTATTGCTTGAAGATGTTTCGCTTCTCATCCAAGAAGCTTTTTCAGTTCTTCAGCAGAACTGAAGAAGCTTCTTGGATGAGAAGCGAAATGTCTTCAAGCAAAACAAAGAAAGTCCAGTTGCCTTTTGAAAAAGCACCTTTGGGACAACTCCTTAGAGCAGATGGACCCTCCCGCTTCTATGATGGGATAGGGAGAGCTATTTTAATGAATAATAGAGAGAAGCCACATTTGCTCAAGGTCCAAAATGCTTCTCCTGAAACATTTTTGAAATTTGCACAGCCTTCTACAGACTATTACTGAGCCAAGTTGTTACACTCTCATTTCTGTATCCTTCTGCTTATTTATTTTATTATCTGGATATTATTTCCACCTTAAAGGAAATGCAAGGAAAATGATTTGGAAATTTATTGTAGCAAAATCCTTGAAGCTATCTGGCTAAACTAAACAGAATTAAAGTATTCTAAAACATCTACAATTTTTATCCTATTTTGCCAAAAACTAAAGCAGTTAGAGGCATTTTGATGCTTTCCCAATAAATGCTGTGATTGAAACGTTATCAAATCACATCTTGCACCAATTGAAATAAAGCCTTGGTGCTTTTGAAATTCAAATTCAAATCAGAATTTGCCAGCTTTGAACCTTGAATCAGTCTTCACTGATTTGCACACATCTATTAGATGGATCTACTGTATCGCAAATTTACATCTGAAACGGCATTAATTTATATTAGTTGTCCAAACTAGAATGGTATACTTTGCCCGTCATTTACATATATAATACTATGATTGGGTGTTACAGGTGGACGAGAAATAAATACGAGTCAATAAAAGTAACTGGTAATGAACAAGAATGATTTTTCGTTATTAGGAAATACAATAATAAAGAAACATAACCCATACAGCTTACACAAAGTAATCTATTCACATGAAATCCTGCAGATCCTATAATCACACCAAAAACAGAGTGGTCCTATCTTCTATTTAAAGAGCATCAGAACTCTGTCTGAGATAATCAAATATTCTACTTTCCCTCAGTTTAAAATCTAGTCAAAATCTCCTGACCCAAATCTCCTCCAAGTTTCTCCACAGTCTTCAGAAAACAGTATCGGCTCAGTGAAAAGATGTGGAACCAGTTTCAGTTGGGTATGAGGGTTTGAGAATTGAGAAAAAAAAAACACTGAGAACTTTCAGTTGGAGCTTGTTGGAATTGAGATACAGCTTTGGTTCCTGTGACACTGACTCCTTAGGAACTTGATACAGGGTTGTTTTACTGCTGTTCTTTAGGAGTTTGTATATTTTCCTGAGACTCTGTTTGCCTAAATATAGGCATAGAACAATTATAAAACAAATACTACAAAGATAAGGCCACGCTCTAAGCATTCTTCAAATTCTACCCATCCCTGAAAATCTTCAGGGAGAGATTTCACCCTAACCTACCATGAAATGCTCAAAATGTAATGTTCAGCATTAACTATTGTTTACCTCTAATTGCCTATTTTAAGAAAACATGGTCCAATTTCAAAGACATTTTTTCTTCAGTGACATGACAATGTGTATGTTCAGCCTCATCCTTATGCAATGGGTTGGATTAGTTTACATTGAGGAAGTAGACTTATTCACAGAAATTTCAAAGAATAAACATCTCTGTCTCATCCTTAGATCTGATTTGTTCAGCTTTCTTTTGTGCCTGGGAGAAAAGATATTGTTGGACCAAATTTGAGTGACTGAAGATTTCCTAGCCAATATTAAAATTTTCAGGATTACAGAACATCAACATTTTTAAAATGAGGAATACATGACATTCTTTAAAAAGCAGATCCAATAAAGTAATGATTGTAATAAGACATGTGTTAATAGTATTTTTAAAATTTTTCCAGCACTTAAAACATCAATTATAAACCTAAGCAGGATGTATATATTGTTATATGATGGCATATTTTATTAATGTCTGGGGGGAATTATTAGGGAAAGAGCTGGAACAGTATTCATCCCATATGATTCTGATTCGAATATAAACTGAAATTTCATTTTCACCAAAGTATAGTATATTGGCAAAGGTAGATGTGCCTTTAATGTTTTTTTTTAATTTAAACATATTCTCTTTCATCCCTCTAGTACTTTTGTTTTCCAATTGCTTCAATGTGATACCTGAAGAGGAATCTGCTAGCATTTCCTCTTCATTTATGATTTTACTGTTCTGACTTGACCAATGAAAATAAATGGATTGAAAACAGCTTCACGTTATTAGGGATACACTGGCTGTTCTTCCAAAAAAGTTTAGAAACTCTGTCCATACACACCTTTGAGTTTTCTTTACAGCCTTTTATTATTTTCCCCAAACTACCTTGTTTCTCCAAAAATAAGACCCTGTCTTATATTTTTTTGAACCCTGAAATAAGCGCTTGGCCTTATTGCCATGCGCTCAAAAGCCCAATTGGGCTTATTATCAGGGGATGTCTTATTTTTGGGAAAACAGGGTAACAAAGTACTAGCTAACAAACTGTTCAAGGAGCAGAGAAAGCGGGAATCTTTTTTTCTATGCTTTTTATGTGACATCCCATGCCTTCCTTTTTCGCTTGTTAAAGAGGTAATAATATTATATCTGGACATACTCGGATTAAAAGCAACCTAAATCCACTGAATTTGCTATTATTCAGATTTACCGCTCAGGTTCTTTTATAGGAATCAATCTAGAAGACCCCAATCTGAATTTAGTTTCCCTCCCGCTGTATTCTCACCTAACTAGAATGCCTTTTCTTGTATAAACTAGTTTCAAAAGGCTATAAGTATAATTATAGATTACACATTCTGATGAATTTATATAGCAATGCCTAGTAAATTTTAGCACTATCTACCTTTATATTTTATTTAAACTATCATTGGAGTTAATTTTGTGTTTTTTCATAGCCTGGTGGAACAGTCTTAAGTCTAATTTTTTTTTTTTAATTCTATTTATATGCCGCCCTTCTCCGGAGACTCAGGGCGGCTTACAATGTATTAAGCAATAGCCTTCATTCTTTTGTATATTTTATATACTTTTGTATATTAATTGCTGGTTATACACACTTACCTGATTCTTAAGGAAAGAATAGCAAAATTTGGAGAAAGAGCCACAAAGGCATCTGTTCAAACTGGACTTTGGTGACATTGAGCAAGTGATGGCAAGATCTCAGAAATACAGAACAAAAGGCTCTGTCCTACTTTGCACCTAGCATAAAATTATTCGGGGCTTTCCAGTTTTAAAATTAATCTGAGGGGGAAAAAATTGGACACTCATTTATCTCTACATATCCAGTTACTTGTAGTGTTTGATTTAGATCAGGGACAGCAGTTCTGCACTGAAATTTTGGGGAAAGGAGGAATCTTCCAGCTATAAAAATATAAAGATTCCAGGTTAATTTCTTTATTCTTGAATAAGGGCTTCAAGCAAATGGGAAATGGAAAATAGAAGGCTATTTATAGCATATAATAATATATAACAAAATGGATATATCTGTTTGGGATTGATTTTCTCATCTACAACCAATATATTTTTCTATGTTCAGAAATCCTGAACAACAGCCTGTGAACAGCCCTTGTCAAATGCCTTGTATTACTGCCGCACTCCATTTAATAAAAATAAACAAATAAATAACATAAATAAAAAACAGTTCTTCCTAAATATGCACATTCATCAAGACCAAAACCTTAGTACTAAGCTCAAGTGAGGGGGAAAAAACGCTGCAGGAAATTTCCTAGGACAGAACAATTACTTGCACTTAATCCTAACCTCTTCAATGAGTGACATTCATGCCATATTATTGTTAGCATTGCATGTTAAGCAAGCAAATTTTCAATCAACTTGTGTTGGCTTTACCACAGACACAGATGTTAGGCGGACTCCTTTGTTCATAAGGTTCTCATTATTAACTCAAACCAAGCTGAATATTTGACTGAAGGAAAGACCATATCATTGTTTTCAGATTTCACTCTATGACTTAACTGAACTACATCTGCCAGCTTTAGAAATACCAAGTACTTCTTGGCGCCAGTACTGGCGCCTCGATCTATGACTACCAGCCTAAATGCTTCAACTTGAGGAAGTTTAGTAACCATGAAAACAACATAAGAAAAACGTAAATTGTAATTAAAAATTGCTCACAGACTGACAGGGTGCACCAACATTTGCACTGTGTTGAATTTATTCCACCAAAAAAAAAAAAAAGCAAATAGAATTCACAATTAAAATAGGTAGGTTAGAAAAGCCAGAAAGATGTTTTTATGATTTATGAAGTCTGCAACATACTTGAAACCATATTTATTTAATAGGTAAGCTAGCACTTTGCCGCTCGTTTCCATCTGCTTTAAATCTATTATAAGACCTTAGGAGGCAAGAAGAATACTCCAAATATAAATATAGCTCCACTTTTCACCTTTTGCAAAGCTAACTTTAAGTGGGGAGGGAAGAATTATAGACACCTCCAAAAGTGCATGTTTTCAGGACATTTTAAAAAAGTATTTATTGCAAAATAAAACAAATGAAACTTCAGTTTTAATTGACAAAATGATAATCATAATTAAAAGTCACCAAATTTTAAATTCCAATGCTAGTTTTTAAAAGTTGCAATCAGCAACGCTCTGTTTTACGTAGGAATCCTTCCTGTACAAACTAAAGAAAATTCTGTCCTTCGGGCCAGTCACAATTCCTTTCAGGGAGAAACATATCAGAGTAAAATGTCAGTAAATTATTCATAAAGAGATAGATTTGGGGATAAATTTAAGATCTAGACTATTTAATTGAAATATCTAGATTTATTAGTTGAATGTAAAATAATACTTTATTACCAAAAGTTATTCTTTTGTTAAAATACCAGAAATTATTTTCAATAGGAAAATAAGAAGCCACTTAATTAAAAATGTATCTCGCTTACCATGCTGTATATCTTTCATGTCTAAATGAAGACTGGACATTAATATACCAACTGCTTGTGATCTTTTGTTGCTTAATAACTTGACAACCTGTCAGGGAAAAGAAAAATGTATTATTTTCCAAATAATAGCTAGCAAACATGCATTCCCAGCATTCACATTATAAATTTGAAACACATATTATTTATTATCATTTAGCATACAGCATATCATACATAGACTAGCAATATATATTAACATTGTGACACACAAATTATATTGAATAAATATAGTAAAATGATGGTTTCTGACTCAGTTTAATAATACATCTGATAGTTTTTAATTTTGTGAAGAAAACATGTGTGCATAATATATTAAAGAAATTTCTAAGTTTCTCTGTTACAAAAAAAAAAAAAACCCTCTCCACAAGATGAAAATATACTATTTTAAAAGCATATATACTTCTATTATTTCTTTGATCTCATTGGGGTTAAGAGTAGCAATCAATATTTCAGGTAAATAATAATAATTAGTATACAACCAGACAAAGAATAATTTGGGAGGTGAATCAACATATTTCAAATAATATTTTACCCACATTTAAGAGACTCATCAATCTATCATAACTGACTGATGGTAATTGTAATTCATTTAGGACTACACTATCAGCATAAATCTGATCTATATTCATGCAACATATATTCACATGTTATTCTATGCTATCCATATTTTCAATAACTATTTAAAATCAGTTTCTAAAGAATTTTCTCCAATACCCTGATGTTGAATGTAGCTTTCATAGATTAATAGAGCTGAAAGTAGTCACTGACTCCCACTGACATTCTTTTATTGAATACCAGAAGCTGCTGGAGATTTTCTATGGTTAGTGTATACATTGTTTAAAATATGAAAGTTAATTGCATTGTTATAATTAATATAATATGTAACATGGCTGAAGTTTGACTCAAATTCAGTAATTTATAGTCACTTAATGGAACAGAGGCCAACACATCAATATCGCTTTATAATATGAAATAAAGTATTCACAGAAACAGAATTCGAAGAACTGCAAAGATCTATCCAGGGAAAGAAATCAAAGCAATGCCAGAAATAGTTCAAACTTTAGAGAAAGATCAGGAGTCAAATCAGTATAGAAAGGAGGTGTGCTGGCTCAGTGGCTTAATGATGCTGGAGATGGTCTCTGCTCTGTTGGAGCTCGAGTCCTAGCATTGTATGGCAGGTGAGCTCCCACCACTCACTTCAGTCCACTTAAGAGTTCAAAAGCATGTTCTATGCAAATAGAACACTATGGTGGAGAGACGAGTTGGTGCTCCATGCAGGCAGTCAAATTGTTGACAGCTCTTAACTTTCTTGGTAAAGGCACCAATCTATGAGGTGGCTCCATGGAAGGGAGGAGACTTAGGATAATGCTGCAGAAAGAGCCATTTATCTTTTTTTCTGGTGCAAGACAAGCTTGTCATCCTGTGGTGCACCTTGGGAAGTGTGCGAGTGTGTCCTACAACAAACCTGGTACATTGGCAGCCATAGTACTACTCTGCAATAGCATTGCAATCTCCTGGCTAATATAACAGCATCAAATATAATAATAATAATAATAATAATAATAATAATAATAATAATAATAATAGGAGGAGGCGGAGGAGGCGGAGGAGGCGGAGGAGGCGGAGTAATGCTGGCCCAAACCAGGCACTCTCTCCTCTGCCCTCTCCTCAGAAAGAACATAGTGTTCTAAGGAAAAAAGAGTTGAAACAAAGAATAACTGATATCTTGAACAGCAACAGAATAAGGTTGTGGGTATTGAAGCTTGCACCAAAGAAACAGCTAGCACGAGTATTAAAAGATGCCCATACTGTAACATCAGATATAAGCAGCAAGTGACTGTGAGAAACAAGCCAACTAATGTAAAGCATGGCGGCAGGTATAATTTAATACCCTGGATGCAAAATTAACAAACAAGAATAAAAGCCAAGTAGTGCGCCACCAAAATGGAAGTTAAAGCTAGAAAAGTAGATCAGCAAACAAATATCAGATGCACATAACTTAGAACAGATGAAAGAAAAGAAGCTGAAGATGACCACGAAATATCACCTAGAAACAAGGAAAATTAAGAAAGCACAGAAATAATAAAGCAGCTAATAACTGCTATAGTCAGGAAGATGAGCAGATATGAAGCTTGAATTCCATGCTCTAGGTAGAATCTCTAATTTCAATCAAATCGGTAACTTTTCTAACAATCCATTAAAGGAGAGACTGCAGTGAATCAGTGAGTACTTGACCAAAAAAAGGGACAACTATGGGACCACTAAAGAAATACAACAAGAATGCATCTTGGTAACGGAGGTGGATAAGAATTTTAAAAAAAGCTGAAATGAAGAAAAACATACGCAGATACTCCTCGATTTACGACCACAATTGAGTCCAAAATTTCTGTTGCTAAGTGAGACAGTCATTAAGTGAGTTTTGTCCCATTCAACAACGTTTCTTGCCACAGATGTTAAGTGACTCACTGCGGTGGTTACATTTAGTAAAGCAATTGTTAAGTGAATTGGGCTTCCCCATTGACTTTGCTTGTCAGAAGATTGCAAAAGGTGATCACATGACCCCAGGACAATGCAACCGTGATAAATACAGGTCAATTGCCAAGCATCCAAATTTTGATCACGTGACCCTGGGGATGCTACAATGGTCGTAAGTGTGAAAAATGGTCATAAGTCATTTTTTTCAGTGCTGTTGTAACATCAAACACTCATGAAATGAATTGCTGTAAATCGAGAACTATCTGTAAAAACAGCAGAAATGGTGGAGAAAAGACAAGGAAGATTAAGAATTATTCAGTACCAGGTAAAGACGACCCGCATGATTGTTGCTGAAATATCTGACTGATCTACATCCAATGACTGCCAAGCAGTTTAACAACATACCACAAGGAGGTGAAATTGAAGACTGGTGAACATCTAGCAAAACTTACCTGATAATGAAATATCCTATCAGAAAGGCAGCACCACGCAACTATAGGCCAATTATCAACAACTTTCAAATGGCTAACTGATGTGATAGCTGAAGCAGTCCAACAGCATCTGGTTGAAAAAAAAGCTCTTTCCACCTGAGCAGAAAGAAAATTACCCAAAGAGCAGAGGAAGAAAAGATCATATCCTAACAGACAAGATAATTTTGAAAAACTGCAAGAGAAGGAAGACCAATCAAATGTAGCTTGTCACATGATTGGATAATCAAGTATCTAGAAATAACAGGAGCCAGGAGAAACATCAGCAGCTTTTTGCAAAAACCAGTGGCAGTACAGAAGGCACAATAGTCCATGGTGATTGACTGGAAGAAATTAATATCAAGAGAGGAATATTTCAAGGAGACTACTACTATCACTACTACTGCACTGACAATAATACTGATCCAGTCAAATCATGGCTATTAAACATTTATTTATTTCATTAAATTTAAATTCTGCCCATCTCCCCGATAAGGCAACTCTTATCATAAGAGTCATAACTTATCATATAATACACATCTGCCAAGCTTTACCACCTCCTTTACATGGATAATCTGAAGCTGTATGGAAAAACACCATCTGAAATAGAATCACTGCTCAACACTGTCCATATATACAACCAAAATATTGCAATAGAGTTTGGATTGACAAATGTGACACCCTCATCATCAACAGGGGAAGCATAATGAAAACTGAAGGAATCAAGCTGCTCTATGGTAATAATATCAAGAATCTGGATGAAGACAATAACTACAAATACCTGTTGTGACCTAGGCTTACTGAGTCATTAAAACACATGAGTAGTCCCAAAAACCTCTTTTATTGCAAAAGCTGTGAATTACTTTCATTCACAGCTGAGTCCCAATTAGTTGCAAAAAGTCCTTCGGGATAAGGCTGATAATCATCCACCTTTATCTCCCTTAACACACTGCCAAAGACCTACTTGGCAAAGCCACACAGAGACCAGAATCAAACAGAGATGCCGACTGGGAACAGGATTAACAACGTTGCTTTCCTGCAAAGGGCCCATGTGCCTTTGCTCATCTTTTAAGCCTTATGGGAGGGGCCAATCATCTCCAGGCCTTACCCCCGAGTCGTCCCTTTAGTTTTAACTGTTCTTGCCTTCTGGCAGCTCTGCGCATGCGTGCACTAGGAACAGGCTCCTCCTGTTCTGCTGCCTCTCTGATGTCTGACTCTGGAGGCTCCGGAGTCCATGCATAACTCCCAGATGGCCCTGGCCCCATCTCTGCCTCCGATACAGAGCCCTCGTCCGAGCCTTCCCCAGACTCCAGGACTGGCCCATGTTCCTCCCCAGCCTCCTCACTGTCTGACTCCGCTGCCAGCTCCCCAGGCTGTTGGCGGACCACAACAATACCTGGGAACTGTTCAAGCTAACATCATCAAGCACACTGAAAACAAGATGAAGGTTAGAAGTGAGTATATCATAAGGAGGAAGCAAATTTTAAAATCCAAACTCAGTGAAGGAAATACCATCAAGGCTATTAACACCTCGGCAGTTCCAATCATTAGATATACTGTACAGCTGGAATAGTGGATTGGACTCAAACAGAATTAAAAGCTCTAGATAGGAAGACCACAAAAATAATAACAATGAATCATACCCTTCATTCATTCACACTGCAATATTGACAGACTCAATTTACCAAGGAAAACAGGAGGGCTTGGAATATCGCAAGTACACCAGACAGTGGAAAAAGTAAAAAGGACAGTGAAGAAGATGCTAGTACATAATGAAGATTTTACAAAATACCAAAGAGATCAAACTAGCCTATAAGAAATACCGAATGAAGAAAAGAAGAGAGAACCAGGTAAGGCACAGGTGTCAAACTCGCTGTGTCATGTTGCCATCATTAGACGTTTTGTGACGTTCTCCCCCTTCGCGGAGTTGGGGTGGGTGTGGCACATTGTGACACATCCAGCCCATGGGCTGCCAGTTTGACACCCCTGAATTAAGGCAAAGTATTATATGGCCAGTAGATTTTTTAAAAAAGCAGGTAACAAGATCTGGCCAATGGCTAAGAGCAGGAAAATTAAAGAAAGAAACAGAGGGGCTCATTCTGGCTGC